AAATCTTTTTAGATAGGTAAACAAAACAAAAAAAAAGAAAGAGAGAAGTCTTAATCGATCGTCGATAAGTCGTTCAGAAGCCTTATCGACTCGGGCTCGGATCACCGTGGATCGGTAACGATTATTTCATTCGCGCGTGTGGATCGTTACCGATTCAGCAGCATGAAGGATCGATCCTGTTGACGGGAAATATCAGAGCTAGTCGTTTGTTTCGATCTTCTTCGAAGAGCAAAGTGCAATTTGTAACTGTGCGTTACGATTCTCTGGCAAATTGCAATTATAATGGTGATTGTAATTGTTACGATTTGTCGAACGAACGCGTTCGATGCCGGTCATTTTATGCGTTACCAGCGGAGAAAGAAGCGGTACACAGGATCATCCTTCCCGATCGTATCCTTTTCTTTTTCTTGCCACTGAAACACGTGGAGATAGTGAAGTTAAGAGAGAGTAAACGATAAATCTGAAGAAAAGGATACGATCGTCGTTCGTTACATCCGAACCGTCCTCGTTTTTTCATAATGACAGATCTACGTGTTCTTTGCTGACACGATCGATGCATTTCCTTCCGATTTTATCTCGAGCTCTACCGATAAAGTAAATCACGCAAATCCAACGAACTTATCGACTCACATACCTATTTACGTGTTTTTCTAAGCAATTTAAAATGAAAAAGGCTAAATGCGAAACGACGACACCTAGAGAAACGGAAGAGGTGCATGCATTGGCGTAGCAAAGAAACGCTAGAGAAACGAAAAGAAGAAAAAAAAAAAACGAGAACTGTATTATAATGTAGAAGCGTGTATATCGTTAAGCTTACGATTGGGGTGAACCCAAAGCCTTTCTCTTAGACTTATATGCGCGTCCACTGGAACATCCTCTCGACTCCTGGATCGATTCCTTTTTTTCTCTCGCATTTTTGAGTCTCTCATCATTGTACGAGAAAGTACGGGTATAATAACGTAACGTGCATTAAAAATATGTAACTTTAATACGCGACACTACATCCACGATTATATTACACGCTAAGTCATGTAAGTATGCCCTGTTTAGCGAACTGAGGAACACCATGATTGTATGTACTTTCCGTTCTACTACCAATCGTGAAAACATTCCATCTTCCGTGGTGCGTGTAATTTGATCCAGAACGAAGAACACGCGAAAAGATTATGCCTTGTAACGTAATAAAGGCACGAGTTCAACCGGACAAGATGTTTTCAAGAGTAAATAATTGTGTGTGTGTGTGTTTTTTTTTTCTTATCGTAATTAAAAAACAGTGATTGCAAGTGTAAGGATAGGTTAATGTGTAATATAATCCTGTATGTTCTTAGTGACATTAAACTTTACGATTAGAACTCGATCAAATGGGAAATCGAGCAGCGAGGGTGGACTAGCGATCTCTTAGATTGTTACGAACTCGTTCGAGATACTTTTTGTCCCTCCGTGATACGAGCAAGGAGAAAAAAAAAAAACACAGCTAACGAGGATTTTACCATTTTATCTACATTTTTCAAGACACGCACTCTTTTTCTCTATCTCTCTTTATATCTCTTTCTATTTCTGTCTGATGTTATCCCGCGATTTGTAGCGCCACCCGAAGTCATATGCGTCGATGTTTTAGAATCTAGATTTTTCGATAAGAAGGAAGTCGAAGGAAGGAGCGAAAGCGAAATAAAGAAGATAAAGAAAGAGCCAAGAGAGAATCTGCGATCGTAATTATTGATTATCAAGGTATCACATTGTAACGAAGAAAATACACCTGAATTTTTAAGAATATTAACCGAAAGAAAAAAAATTATATATACACAATCTGCACCGGACATTATGCAGAATT